AATAAGCTTCTCCTATTGTGTAATCTTTTTTCCTCCTTCCTTCCTTCCTTTAAGGGCTTATGAGGAGCTGGAACTGTGACAGAAGGCAAGTAGAATAAGTTTTTGCCAATCCTATCCTTGGTGGCTCCAACCCTGATCGACCCCTGTGGATTTTAAAAGTTTTAAATTATATGGCAGGAAATTACAGTGAACAATCCACTGTATAGGAAGCTGGAAGGCTGTCCAAAATGGCTACTCCATAGCAAACTGAGGCTGTCACCTGTTTCTTGACTTGTCTGGTTATGTATCACTTGGGTAAGTAAGTTACTCATTGTTCATATCAGATTCAGTTGAGCATTTTCAAACTAGATCGATATGAAGCGCAAACCAAAATATACTATATATATATGGCTGAATATTTAGGGCAAATTGGTTAACAGTCTTATTAGTGTTACACATATATAATCCTGCCAAACCTCTACAAATTAATTTATAGAACAGCAAACTAACTTGATGCTGAATACTGGCAGATTGCCTTATACAATTAATTATATTTTCTGACAACTCTTACCAGACCAAACTTGGGCAACATTTTGGTGGCATGTGCTACACTTAATTGCTTTGAAAATAGTGCAGCCACATGTTAGGTTTACACAATAGGTTTTGTATGCTTTCTGTCTTAAACTGCACTGCTGATTTTCAATAACTGCGCTGCTGAAGTTCATAGAGGGCACATATAAGCCCCTATATTATATACTGTACCAGTCCAAAATTCTAAGATGAGAAATATCACCAATGTACAATTTCATATCTTAAAAGGTCCAGCTATCAGAGAGAAAATAGATCTCTCTGTATTTAAATACATTTAAAACAGGTGCAGAATTACATAGCTAAGAATTATGTACTTCCCTTCAAATATTTTAAAACACAGCCTCTTCTTTAAAAGTTAGTTTTAAGCATACAGTACTATTACCTTCACATCATGCCAACTGCAATGTGTTGACAATGCTACAACCATACAGGAATTTCTCTTTATCAATTACTTACTACTAAGAGTTGTATAGATCTGTTTCATGTAGCATCCATGTCACTAATCATTCATGAACTGACCTAAGTTGATTATGTGTGTGTGTATATAATTCACAAACATACACAAGTAACTAGCAAGATTAATTAATTAAATATGGCCTGGATGGCATGGCAATTAGATGGATACAGAGTTGACCCCAAAATCATACTGAAAGTGTGCTTATCAACAGACTTTCACTATACTGAAGTGCCAAGTGAAATACCATAGAATTTGGTCCTGGACCCCACACTTTTAAATATTTGTATTTTAGGGTTAGATCAGGAGGTAGAGAATACTTATTACATGTCCAGGTGACCCAAAATTGAATTCTAATGTATCAAAATCATTTTGAATTGTTGCTATCTTCTAGAATATAAGCTTATATTCTAGAAGATAGCAACAATTCAAAATGATTTTGATACATTAGAAAAGTGGGCTGAAAATAATTGAATAAAATTTCATAGAAATAAATGAAGTTTTTCATATAAGAAGCAAAAATCAAACACACAGATATAGGCTTGGCAATAATATCTGTGGAAAATATCTTGGAATAGTGATTGATTAGAAGTGAATAATGAGTCACCAGTATGATGTGGCTTCAAAAAAGGCAAATGCAATTTTAGGCTGCTTCAACAGAAATATACCTTCCAAGTCATAAGAAGCAATAATTCCACTTCAGTCCTACTTATTAGATCTCACCAGAACTCTGTCATCTCCAGTCACCATATTTTATAGAGTTAGCCAAACTGGATCAAGTGCAAAAAATGGCAATGAAGATGATCATGAGACTAAGTTCTATGAGGACAAACTGAAGGAATTGGGTATGTTTTGCCATAAGAAGACAACTAGAGAATATATGAGAAACCTCTTCTAAGCACCGGAAAGCATATCAATACAGAATTCTGTTTTCTGTCAACCCGAACAGAATATACAGAATTATGACTTTAAGTTACAAGAAGGCAAATTCCAGTTGAATGTTAGGGAAAAAATCCTAACAGTAAGAGCAGTTTGACAGTAGAACTAATTATTCAAAGAGACACTGAGTCCCCCCAAAAATGGATGAGTTCTGCAGAAGCTGGATGTATTCAACAAATTCATCACTGATATTTTGATATGATTCTTCATTTGAACATGGTATTCATGCCTTAAAGGGTCTCTTCCAATTCTATTATTATGAGTATACTTTCCTGTAATTATCTAAATTATCACTTTGGATATCAACACTATCTGGATGAATATGACAATAAAACAATAAAGCGAAGTGGTAAAGAGTGACATTCACAGAAACATTTCCACAAACTGTGACAGTCATTATTAAAAAATGAATATTAATATTTATTAGATATGAGCATTCACTATGGCTGATTTCACACACCAGAAAGTCATTATGTTTAACCATGATTTATTGAATAATCCACAATTTGCTGAATTCACACAGCTTATATGCCATAGGTGGCAAATCACTATAGCTGACTGCACAACATGCTAGGCTACAAATACAAGCAAACCACATTTTGGTTTAGTCTGCTGACTAAATTCAAGCTGTATAAGAGTTTCCAATTCATACATTTCAATGCAACCAAAAAGTAGCATCTAGGATAGAGTGCAGAATAAATATAACCTCTCTTCACTGCAAACAGTGAATGCAAATATTTATCATTCAATCCATGAAAAACAAGTGTTGCATTTTGGAGAAATGTTGATGGGAACAAAAAACCAGACTTCCACTTTTTTACCTTGAAACAACTCAATTCTCACAATTGGATGTCACAGTTGGGCATAACAGAGTCACCAATTCTCCTGGCTTCCTTGTAAAAAAACACATTTTACCACCACAAATATATATTTACTTGCAAATAAATCCCTCTGAGTTCAATATAGCTTTTTTTCTCTTCATAGAAATCAACTTGCCTTTTTTTAAAATAGCAAATAAAAACATTTATGTCTAAGAATGCCTCTGAGGCAAGAGTGGACTAAATGAATTTAAGAACTCAATTATATACAGCCTAACATACATAGTTTTTGCTGGAGAATCACTTTTGGTACTGGGATTTTAGCTGCCATGTATACTTTTTAAACAAGGTACAATAACGTGGACAAGTTGGCAACCTAATTTGTAATAATCTACAAGCATTTTCTATATTTGTGCAAGAGCATATGAAAATATTTTAAGAGGAATACATTCATATGTTTAAACATAGTTGCTGTGTTTGCACAATACTCTTAACTGAACTATGGTTTATTCAATTAACCAAAATTTGTGGTTTGCATAGCAAACCGTGTCAGAAATTAACAGCATGGGCAGGATTAGCCTAAAATGTGGTTGAGTGTATCATATAATCACTGGCAGTGATTTATTCCTGCATATATAAGCATTTTATTTCAAGTTAAGAAAATGTTCTTACCTGTATATCCTGCCCACCAGCCCCAGGATGCCACCATGGCTAAAAGCCATTTAAATAATACTCCTTCGATATACCAAAACCATTTACTATCCAACAATCGAAGAGGTTGCAGTACTATTAAGTATAGAACATAGGACGGAATAGCAACAAGGTTATTAGCAACCATGAAGCTAAATCTTAACAGTGCCTTCAGAAATATATAGCCTGCCCTTTGGGCCTTCTCCAAAGTTACAGCCATTCTCTTCACACAGAAGTCTGTAGTCTTTTCCTACAGGATAAGAAAGAGAAAAATTAGTCAGCATAAAGTATACAACTTCCTGCTTAAAAAAAAACCCTTCTGACCAAAAAGATTTTCATTTAAAGATATGGTAATATACTTTGCCAGTATTTTCATACGTCTTTTCTGAATTTTCTAGATTGCTACACAAAGTATTGTTCTCAAAACCTTTTAAAAAACCATAATAAAAAAAATTCACTACAAGCTACCAATGAGAATTACTTGTCTTTATTGTGGTATATTCACAAGAGCTAGAAGAAATCCTACAAAACTTGTTCTCATGGCCCTAGGGGTTGTTTGTGTTTTTATAAGAATATGTATTTTGATTACTCCCAATAAGATAATTGTATATTAAGTAAATCATCATTTTCAATGTCTTAAGATCACAGCAAGCATACAAAAGAAATGTGCATTTTATGTGGTAAGACAGAAGACACAAACATGGTATACAAAGGACAGATTCTTTGAGAAAAAGAATTCCCCTTGCTTTCCCCCCATAAAAGAACTGTTATCATAGTTTACACATTAAGATCAGAGATATTTAACTCCCCTTTACTGTGCTAGAAGAAATGTAGGTGAAGAGAAAAAATGAAAATATGAAGACTATGCTTTTTAGTATATGCTTTGAAATTTCTTTTAACGTGAAGCAGTATAGAAATGTTTTATCTAAATGATTTAAAAATGGCAAAATCATTAATTAAAAAATTAAAATTACCCCAACTCTTAAAATTACAAGAAGGAAACAGTGAAATAAAAACACAGCAGGAAGCACCAGAAACCAAAGCAAATAGATAGCAAAGGGGGGGGGAAAGACTAGAGCTTCCATCCCAAAGACACTTATCGAGGAATAGGACTTACTAAACTCAATGCTTTTGTTTGGAGTATGTAGAATTCTACTAAAAGGCTGGGGAAGGAGGATAGGAAAAAAAACAGAGGCATCAGGCCAGACTCAGACAATGCCATTCGCTGGATCACTCACCTTCTGCTGCGCAGAGGAAAGGAAACAGGAGAGCCCAAAGAAGCGGGCCTGATGGCCTTAGAAGCAGAGCAGGGTGCCTTGGTCGGTGGCTGCAGGTGAAGGAGAAGGAAGTGGTGGCAGTGGCAGCAACTCTGATGGGATGACGGCGGTCTCATGGACACGGAGGTTACTGGCCTGGACCCAACGGAATGGGCTGGGAACACTCCCTATTCCCTTTGCACCTCACTAAGGGAGAAAAGACAAGCAGAGATAGACCAACTGAAGGAGACTGAAGCGGCACAAACGCTGGAGCCTGCTACATTACAAGGGAAGGCGCCGTCCAGAGGACTTATCCTACCCTAACGGGATTTCCACAGTATTCTGGGCCTATCGCGATTCGCGCACCTTCCCAGGAGAAGAGGGTGAATTCTGCCGCGAATCACCCCAGCGGGTCTATCCGCTTCTCCTCCCGGGAGGAAGAGGGCAGCAAGCGCAATGCCCGCACCTGTTGGGGTGTCAGCGCTGTGCTCTGTAGGACAGGAAAAAGACGCGGAGGATCTCTTGTATCTCAGCCGCCGCGTTATCCTTCTCTCCTGTCGAGGATTTCGGATCAGGACACAGGCTCTACCTCTCTGGACATGCACAAGCTTGCAAGGGCCCCAAAGGAAAAGGAAGCTCTACCCCTCCCCCAGGCAAATGGTGAACTAAGAGTACAGTAGCACTCCGTGGTGCTCGGTAGCATCTACTCTATTTAAGTAACGGAAGGGGAAGGGGAGTTCTCTTGAGAAAATTCTCCCTCCAAACGACGTGAGGTCGCCACATCGTAATAAAATTAACTTCCTCCTTATAGGAGAGGTTGAAGGGGCAGATTTTCACAAGTGCCACTAGCAAGTGATGCACAGCCACAGAGGGAGCATCGTGACTCGGGGTCTTTCAAAAGCATCAGGAGTGACCTATTCACCTATCTGAAGTCCCTCGAAAATCCACTATCGCCTTACATTCAAAGGAAAAACTGGAAAGCCCCTCAAGTCCTCTCGGAGTGGGGGGCAGGATCCTCAACCTTTGTTCCAATACGGAGGAAACAAAAAGAATCCTGGCGGGGGAAAAGCACATTCCGGGTTACACCCGACCGTGAACTTTAAAGGTCGGAAATGGTTCTGTCCCAGGGACTTGAATTGGCTCCCTCCTCCCGACCGAAAGCTTCTTTCAAGGGCACCAACGGGGTGCCTCCGCAGCCCGAAGTAGGCGATCTTTCGCAAACAGCATCCTTGCCTACCGAAGACTAGGCTCCACAATGTGCTCGTGGGTCGCTCTCTTCCTCCGCCGCCCCCCCTCCCCGCTTGGAATGAAAGCCCTTAAAGGGTCATCTTCCCTCTGGGCGGGCGAAGGCATATCCCCGCTTTGCCCAAAATGAGCCCAGAAAGGCAACCATGGACATGACGACCCTGTCCCTTTTCAAGTTCAACCTCGGGCTCCAGGGCAGCCTCAAGGGCGACAGCCACCCTCCTCCTCCTCCTCCTCCATCACCGCCGCCACGCCGCGCTGCTCACCCAGAGTAAGGGGAGGATCTGAAGAGAGCGCCAATGGGAAGGAAGCGCCCCGACCTCGTCTCGGGCGGCGAGGGGGATCCTCTCAAGGGCGCCGAGAGGCTGTCCCCGGCTTCTCCCCCAGGAGGGACTACCTCCCGAAGAGCCCCGGGGAAGCGGCGGCGTTGGCTCCAAAACTCCCTTATTTATCCCGCGCCCCATCCCTTCCCTTCCTTCCCTTCCCTTCCCCTCTCGAGAGGCGCCGCTCGCGAGCAAAGGATGGGTGGGGACTTTCCTACCTCCGGCCAAGCGGCTTTCCTCCCAGGGCCGGTCCTGAGGAGCCCGCCGGATTCATAACGGTGGCAACCGTGGCCGCCAGGGCCCTCACCCACTTCGACTGCCGCGAAGAGGCTGCGCCGTGACCCCTCGTCGCCGCCTCTTCTACGGCTAACTCGGCTCCTCGGCCAGTTTCTCTGGCTCTCGAGGAGGTGGAAGCGGAGGCAGGAGCAGGTCCCTCACTGCAGCAAGCCCCACTCCCTCCGGCCGATAGCTCCCTCTAACGAGCCGAAGCTTAGCAGTCTGGCTTCGTCCGTCCCTCTGCCCGCCAGTCAGCCAAACTCCCGGCGGGCTGGGCCTCAGCAGGCCGCCTCCCTTGCAACTCCCCTCCCCGCTCCCGGAAGAGGCAGCGAAAGCGCGTCCTTCTTCCAGCTAAAGGGAACGCTAAACTCAGAATATCGGAGAAACGGCAACAGGAATTGCAGCCATTAAAAATGCAAAGAGATTTAGCAGCCTTCCCCTTGTCCTCAAGCTTGAACGACCGTACCAGCAGCGAGGATATGACCGAATGACTGGCTGGGCGATCTGACAGCGCCAGGCCTTTGCACAGTTCGTGACTAGCAAGCCTTTAGTTGAAAAAGTCACGTTAAGAGGTTAAGAGCGATGGTGTGAAAAACCACCTCCACCGCCCCGTGTCTCACGTGTCATCCCAAGGTCCGGAGAAGGGGAAGGGACGAAGGAAAGGCAGCAGGAACTTAAGAGAGAGCAGCTGCAGCAAAAAACCTGGCCCGGGGCCTACTGAAAGTAAAACTTGGTATTGGAGGCGGGAAGAGGCTGAGGACTGGAAAAAGGATAGGAAGTATGGGATCTGAGAGAAGGCCTTCAGCGGGAATCTAAAAAATTATGGGTTGAATGGTGATGAGGATTAAACCTCTCACTGAGTTTAAGGACAGAAGCTCGATGAGAGTTAGAGTCCACCTTGGAGATCCAGCAAGTGAAGTGGGATTAAAAAGCATACAATAGGGTGATTTGAAATAACTGTTGACATCATTCTATTCTGATTTTCACTGTTGTTTAAGATTCTTGGGTGTGTGCACGTCTGTATTAACCTGCATTTTTAACTAAAGAGCAGGAATGGTTATCACATTAATTTTATTGTTTATTATTTATCATAGTAATTTTCTGAGCATCTCTACCCATATATAAGCAAAATGGCTCCATCCGCAAAGAGGCAGGCCCAAGAAGGTGCCCCAAAGTTTACAAACATTTATACTTTAGGAAAACGCTAAAATGGGATATTCTGCAACAGTTAAGTGAGGAATTAGCATGTACCGACAGTTGTTTGGGGCCATAATACAAGGACATTCCGAAAGAGGCACAACTAGCTGGAAACCTGAATACATTCTGTATTACAGTCTTAATTTTTTATGTGTGAGTCCATATGTAACCAAAACAACATACTTGCATGATATTCTGGGACCATGATTAATTGAACTAAAAGCATCTTATGCAACATGGCCACTGTTTTACATTTATATTTTCTTATGAGAAATTGGGAGATGAAAAATCAGAGAGTGGCTGAATTAAGGTGGTATGCATACAATGGCGCATAAAGAAAATCAAAAGCAGGGATGCAGATTTTCTGTTTCTTCATGCCAGGACCTGAAAGAAGTGAACAAGACAAATTTTATTCAAATTAATTTACATACATTAGAAAATTAAAGTTAATATAAAGACTCCACTTGTATTTAATATTTTCCCTCTATCAGATTCAAATTAAATTTGTGGCAACTTTTGGAGGGGCTCTGTGGTTTCACCTAAGGCTTCCAAGAGCACACGTGACTCTGGAGTGTCAAACTATACATCCTTGTATTAGAATATATTAAAATTCTTAAGTCAGTTATTTAGGTGCATAGTATTGTATTAATTTGGCCAGGTGTACTTTGTAAAATTATTATTTAAGTCATGATTTATATAGCATTTTAGCAAAGTTAAATGTTTAATGCTTCACTCTTTGATAATCATTTGGACTGGGTCTGTTATATCATTGGAATTTCAAAATATGTTTAAGATCAACACCACATGCTGCTAAAACTTTTCAATTTCATATTAGATAGTTTGGACAAATATCATAAACTTCGTAACCAAACTCCTTGATTTGTTCAGAATGTTATAGACAAATATGTGATTGATGTTTGTCCACGAGTTCTAGCTAATGTAAAAATTATTAATCTGCTTTTGATAGGATGATGAATCACATCATGATGCTAAATCACTGTTATACTATGGTGTCAACCTCCACAGTGACTAGGTTATCACATCACAATTTGTTGGTTATTAAATAAACTACAGTTGACTGGGATTGAGCAATTTGTTGAGCAGTAAACAATTATTTACAGTCACAGCAACTGAGTTTACACAGCATACTAAACCGTAAGTAAACTGGCCACATTACATCTAATGGTTATGTATGAACCATTAGATGTAAGCCCAATCATTATTCAGTAAGACCTGGCTAAAATAAACCATAACTTAATACTTTATGCAAGTTCATCCATCTTTGTGATTCCCATAGTCAGTCAAGAATTATCTGTCAATAATAATCTTTATTCAGCAAATCTAAATGCCACAGAACATAAACATTTTTAGTAGGCATCCATAACAAAGCACTATGACATCAAAACAATGGTGTGTTTACATAAGCAATGCAATTATGTACTTCCATCCCAACATGACTATCATGATTCCATGCAAAACTCTTAGATTCAATCCTTGTGTTTCTAGAAAGGTTTGTTCAAACAATATTCCTAAGTACAAACTTGGAACCATTACTGATCAGTATAGTCAGTACTGGGCTAGGTTAATTGATTGTCTGAGTTTGTATAAGGTACAGTACTAATAGAAATGCTACTGTATGATTAAGTAAACAGTTTGCTCCACCACTGGGAACTTCCAGTACTAAAACATCAGTGAAACTTTCTTCTCCTTCTATGGTTATTTTACACACATTTAAATGACAATTTTCAGTTACAGCTATGGGTTTCAACGTTATGTTGCACAACACTGATCTTAACAGGCCTCGTATACACAATACTTCAATTATTTTTAAATTGAAAATAAGATGATGATGATGATGATGATGATGATGATGATGATGATG